GAAGTCCTTCTTGATTGGTAGATATTGTAGGACTTCTAGTGAGTCCTCTGACCACCAGAATCAAAATCATGGTCAGAAACTTCTGTGATTAATGAAGAGGCATTTACTGTCACCTGAGTGATTTTGTGTGTAATATAAAATGCAATAGAAAGTCAATGTCAAGAGCTGGTTGGAAAATGTGTAAAAACACATGCTTGGGAATTGTAATTCATGTAAGTTTAGTCCCTTAAATCACATGTGATGAATTTAAAAGGCAATGTCTTTGCAATAATTCAGTTTAAAAGATACTTAAGTTTCTTTCTATTTATGGTTGGGAAATAAGTACTAATGACACCTTAACACTAAATTGTGTTAAACCTAACAAAATTGAATTATACCAACCCTTAACTTTGGATTAGGGTTAACATCAACTCATCACTAGCAATCACATAACACATCTCTCATTATGTTAATTGTAAGAGGGCTTGGTCTTCAAAATTGGAAAGGCTCATATGTTTTTTTTTTTTCATATGTTCTTATACTTACTATGTTTGCAGTTTTTGTTTTTCATTTAAAATAATCTTAAAAAGCTAGGAGTATAACTCAGTGGTAGAAACCATGCTTAGCATGTACTAGCTCCTTGGTTAATTTCTAGCATCAAAAATGAGTAAGTAAATAAAATAAAATGAGGGTCAGGTGTGGGGGTACCTGCTTGTAATCCTAGCTATGTGGCAGGCAGAGATGGGAGGATCTCAATGTCAGCCAGCCCAGGCAAAACACTTAGCAAGACCCTGTCTCAAAAAGCAAGCTGAGTGGGGTAACTTACACCGGTTATCACAGCTACTTGGGAAGCAAAGGTAGGAGAATCATAATATGAGGCCACTCCATGGCAAAAGTACAAGAAACTTCCTGAAAAATAAACTAAAGCAGAAAAGAGTGGAGGCCTAGCTCAAGTGGTAGAAAACTTGCCCAGCAACCACAAGGCCTTGAGTTCAATCCCCAGAACAACCAAAAATAAATGAATGAGTGAATAAATAAATAAAATGAAATTGAAAAACAAGTCATAGTGGAAAGTCCAGACTTTGATAGTGGTAGTTCCAAGGTAATGGCTAATTTTCATTAGCACTCACTACTAAAACCTGTCCAAATAAAATGCAGTTGGCTTAATGTCAAATCCCACAGTGGAGGTTTTCTCTACCCGCTGTTACTAAGTGCCACAAACTGGATGGCATAAGACAACAGAAACTTATCCTCTCACAGTCTGGGGGCCCTAGCCTTCCCATGAGACAGCTATCCCTGAATACCTGTTGGTCAGAAATTGCAGAGCCACCACTATGCATGATGTGGGAGAGGTTATGTTGCACACACTACCTTATTAAATTCCAGATCCTGAAGGCCTCCTCTTGATCCCTATTTTGGAAGCAATCTCTTAAGCCAAAGTCTAGTTCTTGTACAATCTTTCTCTTCAACTGTTATTAGAATGGCAAGTATGAGAGAGCTGGAGATGGCAAATACAGTGATGGATTTTCTTCATACTCAGGAACATCTCAATATTTCCTACCAAGCAACAGCAATGACTTTTGTGTTAGATTACATGCTAGCCCTGAGTAAAAGACCATCTGTCAATCAGAGTACTTTTGATTCCTTCATCAGATGTATCTCTAAAACACTTTGGAAATTGCATTTGTGTTTTCTACTTATTTAATGCATTGGGACAATTTGATTTGAAAGGAATCTCATCTGTCACAAAGTTCCATTTCTCTGTCCTTAAGTAAGTTTTAAATCTACCCCCTCATCATTATCTTCAATATCATGGCTTAATTCACATCTACATTTCTCTAACTTGACTGTTACCATTGCTTCCAAAAATGTTTCTCTGCCTCCAGTTTCCTCCCATCTAATGAACCCTTGACATTGCTGACTCATTCTGATGCTTAAAAGTATGCTTTTATACCTTTTTTTGGTTGTTTTTTTGAGATAGGGTCTCACTAGGTTGCCCAGGCTGGCCTCAAACTCTCAATCCTCTTGCCTCAGCTTCCTGAGTAGCTGGGATTATAGATGCATACCACAGCACCAGGTTTTTAAAGTGTTATAGGGCTGGAGATAGAGCTCAGTGGTGGAGTGCTTGCCTAGCATGCACAAGGCTTTGAGTTTGGTCCCCAGCACTGCAAAAAAAAAAAGTTATATAGTTATATTTATTTAGCCAATATTCATTGAGCATACTCTATGCCAGATGTTATTTTAGGTACCTAGAGGCAGCAAGGCACCAAAGGAATAAAAATTCCTGTCTTCTGGGAACTGCCATTGTTATATTATTCTCTAGCTTGTCCTCTGTGTTCTAGTGCAAGTCTTGGCAGAAAAGAATAATCATAATGATGACGGTGGTGGTGGCTTTCATTTTTCTTGAACATGTACTATTGGTGGACTGTTACTCTAAGTTTTTTACATAAGAAGTATGCTATAGCAGTGTGCATAGAAGTTTTTCCTAGGTTGATTCTGTGTGCAAGGAAATTGAGACATAGGGTGTTTAAAAAGTCCAAAGTCAGAGATCTAAAAAATGTTGGAGGCAAGATTTGAATCACTCACTTTTTTCATCAATACCTTGGCCCTTAGTCTACACTCTCCAGATGTTCAGAAGGTTTATGAATAAATGACTGATCTCTGTAGAATCTCTTTCAAACAGATAACCATTGCAATAATGTGTTTATAACATGACAGTTTTGTTTTCATTTTATCTTTTTTGTTGGTACTGGGGTTTGAACTCAGGGCCTTGTGCTTGTTAGGCAAGAACTCTACCACTTGAACCACATCTATAGCCCTTTTTGCTTTATTTTATTTTTCAGATAGGGTCTCGTGCTTTTGTAAGGGCCTGCAAGTCTTTTATCTCTGCCTCCTGTGTAGCTGGGATTACAGGTATGTGCCATTACTCCTGATCCTTTGTTTAGTTTGTTCACTTTTTTTTTTTTGGTGGGACTGGGGTTTGAACTCAGGGCCTCATGCTTGCTAGGCAGGTGCTCTACCACTTGAGCCACTCCGCAAGCTCTTTGATCTTTTCAAAACAGGGTCACACCATGTAGCCCAGGCTGGCCTCTAACTTGTGATCCTGCTGCCTCCACCTCTCAAGTGCTAGGATGTAGGTGTGTGCCACCACATCTGGCAGACAATTCTGTATATGTAGTTTACCTGAAGCAGTGGGACTTGTGGCACTGTCTGGAGACATTTTTGGCAGTCATAACTTCAAGAGAGGGGGTACCACTGATGTCTAGTAAATTGAGGCCCGAATGTTTTAGTTTGTTCAGGCTGCTGTAACAAAATACCTTAGATTGGGTAGCTTATAACAATAGAAATTTATTCCTCACATTTTGGTGGCTGGAAAATTCAAAATCCAGGTGCCAGAAAATTGGGTGTCTGGTAGAGACCTGATTTCTGCTTTATAGCTAATGCCTTGTAGCCATATCCTCACTTGGATGAAGGGATGAACAAATTACCTCTCATCAGGCTGGGGAGGGTAGCCCAGTTGTAGAGAGTATAAAGCAAGAGGCCCTGGGTTTGATTCCCACCACAGAGAGAGTGCTTTGAGGATTTTTTTTTTTCGTGTGGCGTTGGGGATGGAACCAGAGCTCTGCATAATCTTACTTTAACATTGTGCCACATCCTCAGTACTCCTCAGTTTTCTCTCTCTCTCTCTGACAGTATCTCACTATGTATCTCAGGCTGCCTCCAACTGGAGATCCTCCTGCCTTAGCCTCCCAAGTGTTGAGATTACAGGTGTGTGCCCTCCTCAGATATCTTATGAAGGCACTAATCTCATGAAGAGGGGAGCTCTTTATATCAAGCCATACCTATTCTCCTCTTCAAGAGCTGTTCCCATTCTACCCCAAAGAACTTAAAGGTCTGTTTTTAAGGGAAAATAAAGACGGTTAAATGAATATGACTCCTGTGTTGTCACATGAATTTACACTTTGACTTTTAAACCACAAAGTGGGATTATGAAGGCCAGGGAAGTTTTTGGGACATGGTAGGAAACCATGATGCTGGTGAGACCAATATCACAGATTTGAATCAAACACAGATCACTCAGTTTCCCACAAAGAATAGCTGTTCCCTACTCACAGACCAGATATCTGTCCCCAGCTGATTGCTTTACAAATGGCTACCAGGTTGATGACTTGCAAGAGTCATCAATGACTCAGGGCAGACCCATCCCTTCCACCAATAACTCAGTTAGAAGAAGGCTACTCTCAGTGGCTTTGGCATCAGGTTTATTTATGAAGAATGGAGCATTAATATTTTTAAGTTGTATAAAAACATTAGATTTGATTTGTAAGTTAATGTTTCCATAAACAATTGACTAAAGTAGTACTTAAAACTTGTCACTATATTTAAGAAGTATTCAACTGATACCCAATTTTCCCTGAAAATCCATTACTAAATTTAAATCAAAAGATGGGGAGTGTCTTTTATATTTCAAAGATTTATTTCAATACATAAAGGATATATTCATGCTGAGACTTTAAATATAGAAATTAAAAATAAGGGTCTAATTTTTTTTTAGCTTGCCTTATGATGTGTCAGTTTTTCAGCCTCAGCATTATTCTGTGGCAGATACTTCTCTTTGATGCAGAAGTCTGTTCCCCTGTGCTATGGTTGGAATGCTTGTATCCCCCTCAATTCTTATGTTGAAACCTAATCCTAAATTCAATAGCACTGAAGCCTTTCTCCTTTAGGTGGTGATTACTACACGAGGAGTCCTGGCAGTTGTCATCCTGGTAGTCATTTGGAAAGTGGTCAGCTGGGGACAGATATCTGTACTAGGGAACAGTTGTTCTTTGTGGGAAACCAAGTGATCTGTGTTTGATTCAAGTAATACTGGTCTCCACCCAAGAACTTCCCTGGCCTTCATAATCTCACTTCATGGTTTGAAAGTCAAAGTGTAAATTCGCATGACGAAATAGAAGTCATGTTCATTTAATCATTTTTCTTTTCCCTTAAAGTCAGTCCTTAAAAGTTTTTGGGGTAGGATGGGGGCAGCTCTTGAAGAGGTGAACAGGTGTGGCTTGGTATGAGGAGCAACACTGTTCATCAGAGGACTAGAATTTGTTTATGGGTTGTTTCTTGACAGACATTAAAATGAACTGTTCCTCTCCCATTCCCCCAGCCAATGTGTATGAAAGGATGTCCACTTAGGTCAGCATACCTTTTAGTTCAAACACTAGGGCCTGGTAGTTGCTTTATCTCAACTGTTCCATAATGCTCTAAGAGATTACATATACTTATTATTTTAAATCAGTGTTTTGATTAGAAAACTGGCTTTTCTATTAAATTTCTGAGTTTTCCTCTGAATTATCTTTCACAAACTTTAAGGATATCTTTGTGCATAAAGTCAGTGCAGTTTTTATTACACACTCCTTATTCTTTCTTGTTTCTTCAATTGTGATCATCATGAGAACTAGACAGTCTAATCTTGGCCAAATGACCAATTATGACCATTGGTTCACTGCATCATTTCAGCTCAAGACAGGAATGAAGTAACCTTGGTCACCTCTGTGAAGGAACAGAGTGAACATTCAATATTAAATATGACACCTATAATTAGGAAGATGTAAGGTTTTACCACAGTAATTTTAAGGATGAGGTAATTTGCAGGGGGAGGGGTGATAAAAACAGCAATTAATTACGACTTTTCGGTGCAGCTTATTTATACCTCCGTGAATTCTTTATGTTGTTAAAAAAAAACTTCTGATGTCTGGTCTAGGCAAGTGCTCTACCCACCGAGCTACATCTCCAGCTTCTTCCCTACATTTCGCTCTAACTTCATAGCCCCTCACATCACCTCCCTGGGATCCCAACGCCTTTGAACAAATGAAGAAAGTGTGTGAACACCCAGGGGTTTTAGGAGTCAGGTTTCCTTCACTAAGAAAAAGTAGAAGGGCTGCGATTAGATTAGGCAAGGTGGGAAAGGGATACTGGCAGGTAGGGCGCCGGAAAGTTACAACTTGGGTTATTTTTTAACTGGCGTCCTACAAACGGACGCTAACTTGTACATGGACCTCAGGTTCTCGGGAGCTCAGGAGACTCGGGAGGCTGAGACCTGGCAGCCGTTCAACGACCCCGCCCTCGGGGTCCCAGGGGACGCCTAGCGGAGAGCCTGATTGTCTGGGCCGCCGGCGGACGGAGGCAGGGGTCGTGACTACGGCCGGGCCGCGAGCGCACCCGGAGCCGCGGGCCCCGCGCGGTGGACACTCTCGCGGCCGCGCGCCGGGCGGGAGGGGCGGCGGTTCCCCGGCAATCGCGGCGGAGCGCGGCGCGCGCGAGGTTCGGGGCGCGCGGCGAGCGGCGAGCGCGGCGGCCGCCGCCTCCTCCCGTCCCCGCCTCCGCCGGCGCAGCCTCCTCCCTCCGCCCGGCTCGGCCTCCTCGCTCCCTCCCCTCGTGGCTGGCTCCGGCGGCGGCGGCGGCGGCGGGCGGGGAGGGCGTGCGCCGGCCGAGCGGTGTCGGCGGCGAGGCCAGGGAAGTTTCAAGTGGAAGGTCGTCGGCCGGCCGGCGCGTCCTCCCGCTCTCCTCCTCCGGCAGGCAGCATCATGGCGGAGCTGAGCGGCTCGCCCGTGCACGTCCAGCTTCCCCAGCAGGCGGCCCCGGTGACAGCGGCAGCGGCCCCGGCGGCAGCGGCCCCGGCGGCCGCGACAGCAGCGCCGGCCCCGGCCCCGGCGGCGGCCCCGGCCCCGGCCCCGGCAGCGCAGGCGGTCGGCTGGCCCATCTGCAGGGACGCGTACGAGCTGCAGGAGGTTATCGGTCAGTGCGGCGGGCGCCGAGCCGGGCTGGGCGGGAGGGGCGCGGGATGCCGGGCGGCGGGCTCCGGGGCCTACCGGCTCCCCCACTTTCTTTTTTCTACATTTATTTGTTCGTCCTTCGAGCGCTGGTGCTGCAGGAGGCGGCGCGGCGGATGTGACTCGCACTGCAGCCGCATGCTGCAAACTTTTATCTCCCGGATCCGCGGGGCGCCGGAGCGGGGACCGGCAACGCCGCCGCATCTCCCTTCCCCCGCGCGCCGCGGACGCAGCCCGTGGCCGGTGGCCACGCGGGCAGAAGGCCTGGGTGGGGTGGGGTGGGGTGGGGATGCGGGGGCGCCGCCCTGGGCTTCCTGCGCCCCCGCGCCGCACCCCGCGCTTCCTAGGGGACTCTGCGGGCGCAGCCGCACCCTCTGCCTACATGGTGACCCTCTCTCCGCCGGTAGCCCGGCAGCGGCGCAGAAGCCTCCGAGGCCCAGGAGGATGCCCGGCTGCCTCCTTGACAGCCGCTCCACGCCCGCCCAGCAGCCCGGCTCTCTGCGCCGCGGCGCGCCCGGGTGGGTACCGCCTCCCTCGGTGCCCGGCGCGCCGCCTGCGCCCTGCCCCGCCGCCCGGACAGCGACACCCTGTTCTCCTGCCCTGAATGGCCGGCGCTGCCCATCCCAGGTCGATCTGCTGGGCTGAAACCCGAGGCTATTGGAGGTCCGCCGCCTGCCTTTTGGTGCCTTCTAGTTGGCTCACAGATATCACGTTCCCTTACATTTTTAAATACCTGGCAACGTCGAATGGCAAGAAGCCGGCATTACTTTTCCCTGGGCCAAGCACTGATGGGAGGAGATTTAGGGTGTCACCTCACTTAGAACCTTCCCTATTCTCGCTTGAGAGTCCTGTCACTCAGCGAAGCCTCCAACCTTGTTGATGCTGGGATGGGGTGTTGCTGTCCTATAATCTTGGTACTTAAAGACCGGGATGAAAAAGGCATTCAGGATATGTAGCTTAAATATTTTTTTTCCTTTCACTTTAAAATTTAAATTCTTCACTCACCTCTTCAGAAAAATTTAGCAATTAAAAGAATTTCATTAAATATTTAAAAGAGCTTTTGTCACCTACTTCTCTGTGAATGAAACAGGTACATACATGTATATGCTTCCTGTACATATGTACATGAGAAAATGGGGAGCTGGACGGTAACCTGGGCTATAGAAGCTCCAGATTACCCTTGTAGGCCTCTGTAGAGAACGATCTTGACTACCCAGAGGTTTCATAACTTTAAGCTAAAGATTCTTGAGGGGTGAATCTTCATGTCACTGCCTGGATTCAGTAACTTACCGGGCCTCTCAAAGCCTACAGTCCTTAATGAAACCTCTTGAACCGCTTTGCCTTCAACCTGTGTGCCTTCTCCTGTATTCTTACAGTGCCTGTATCCAGAGTCTCCTCCTGACCTGTGGCACCTCTGGTTTTTCACCTTTGCAGCCTCTTCCCTTGTCTAAAGGCCCTTTTTTCCTTTTTGGTGCTGAGGATTGAACCCAGGGCATGCATGCCAAGCACTTCTCTACCACTGAGCTATACCCCCAGCCCTAATGTCTTTTCTTGTGTGGTGAGTCTCATTCAGCTTCCAAGGCCAGGGTGACTATCTTCTGAAAAGCCTGCTGCTTCAACTTGGGCAAAGGGTGGCTGCTTCTGCTTTTCTTTGTGGATCCTATAGCATGTAACCCTGAAATGTTTATTTGCTCAATAGGCCTACTATGCCCCAAGCATTGTGCTAGGTGCTAGCAGTGGAGAGATTAATAAACAATGGCCCATGTCCTCAGGATTTCATGAGTTAGGAGACTGGTAAAGGATTCCATAGAATGTGATGAGTGAGTACTAGGAGAGACAAGGAAGTGGGGGTATTCCTCAGATAAGGTCATATTTGAGCTAGGTTTTGAAGCCTGAGTAAGAGTTTTTAAGGTGCTTAATTATTTCCATTGCTGTCTTCACAGTCTGTCCAACAGTGACCTCCTCTAGGTTGTATCTATTCTCCTGTCCCTGACAGTAGAGGTAGACCCAAGAGTTGATTGGTGTAACCTGGGCTGTGTATACAGTTTTCCCTAGGGTCAGGACCAGAATTTACACATTATCAACTTTTATACTGATTTTATTAATTATTACAGTTAAAATGCAAGTTTTTCATTTTGTAAACAATATTTTGAGTTGACCACTTTTGGGAACAAAGTCTTTTAGTTTAAGTGAGATTAATTACAAGGTTCTTTTGCTTTACATTTAACAACATTATTAATTGTGCTTGGTCAACTTAATGAAAAAAAATTACACAAGGACTTTGCAAGCAGGTGCACCTGTTTATTCTACCCTAATTTTTACACATTCATGTTGTGAGAGGGCTTTTCTACATTTTAAATTTATCTAGTTTTTTTTCTCCTAAGTAAAGTAGCTGGCCTTTGAGGAAGCTCTGCTGTTGAAAAGTAAAATTGTTGGAATGGGGTTTTGCAAGGGCTTATAGGGCATTCCAAACCCATTTCCATTTGTTGTTCAGTGCTAGTTGAGAGATTATGGGTGAACTTGTGTTTAAACACTTTTGCTTAAACATTACATGGAAGAAGTTAGTAGTTCAAACACTGAACCAGTCTTAACATGAATGCCACTTGACAGCCTTTGCCTGTCCCTGCCATACAGTAGGTGTCATATGACCCACTCCAGCAGTGTAAGCAGTGACCAGCAGGAGGCTTGGATGTGCCTGAGCAGAAAGCCAGGGGAGGCTTGGTGCCTACACTTTGCAGCGTGGCCCCAGAGCGCCCAGCACTTTTTCTTCCTTTCTTCCTGGGTAGGGGATGGCGCCCTAGGATTAGGAGAGAATAGGTTTACTAGAATCCAAACAGAGCACCTTCAGTTACTTGACTTCTTCTGTTTTAGAAAAATAAACAGGATTTTCCAAGTGTAAAAGTAAAGTTTTCTCTTTGTTGCATTGTTGTGCTATAAGAGAGCGATGGAGAAATTGTAATGCTCTTAGGAGTAATCTGGTTTGCAAGTTCACGCCTGACCTATAAATGATGTGAAGTCTGTTGGAGAGCGCTACATACTCAAAAGGGGTTAAACTGTGTGAAATTGTCAGTTTCCTTTCAGCTAACGTCTTTACAGTACATTTCAGATCTTTCTGTCTCCTATACAAGCGACTGCTCTTTGGAGAATCTCTGAGGTGTTTATTATGGTCTTCAGCCTCACTGATCTTTGTTTCTCCCCAGTCCTCTCACCTCACCCCTCTTCTTTAGAAACATAAAGGGCTTCGAGCTACACAAGCTGAAAAGTGAGTTTATTTGTTGGTTGTATCGGTAATATCACCTTGACTTTTTAAACAAAGAATAAAAGGTGACTCGTGTACATGCTGACATGGGCATCTGTAGTAGAATGGAACAACCTTTGTGAACTTCTTGAAAGGTTTCCGGTCTTTGCAGTATCCGTTTCTGTATTTGAATCAGGCAGTCCTAGCAGTGCTGTTATCTTTTTCCTCTGACAAATACTAAGAAGACAGAAGGTGACGTCTCTGAATGTTTGATTTTCTTCAGAGTTTTTTTTTTTTTCCTCCCCTTTTACTGGGGATTTTGAACTCAGGGCCTCCCACTTGCTAGGCAGGTGCTCAACTACTTGAGCCACACCCCTAGCCCTTCTTTCTGTAGTCTTTTGCACTTGATTTCTCAGTGTTGCTTCAGTTTTGTCCTGGGTGGTCATTTAGGGTGACCTGAAAGTAACAATTTGCCATCTCAGTCACCAAAACCAACCTGGTTCCTAGAATGCTAGCACTCCTGAGTGTTTTTGTTTATTTCTGTCATGTGAGGCTTTTATCAGCCCAGGTCACAAAGCCTGTGGCCAAGTGTTAAAAGAGCAGGCAGCTCTGTAATAAAGGGGATACTTGTCTGAAGACAGGGCTTTTAATATACATAATAAAAATTTACCATTTTAATTTTTTTTCTTTGTGGTGCTGGGGATGGATCCCAGAGCCTCCTGCATGCTAGGTAAGTGTTCTACCATTCAGCTAAACTCCTAGTCCTTTACTGTTTTTTTAAGTGTGCAGTTCAGTGGCATTTGTTATGTTCACAATAGAAGTGCTGTTTTAAATGTGCTATTTAAATTGGTTGGTGGGAAAAAGGTCTCAAGGTAAAAAAAAAACGTAGGGAAGAGAGTAACTGCACTCCTTGCTTTGTCGGATGTATTTAATTTGTGACCAATAATGTGTATTTTTTCCTGACTTTTATGTTTGTTGTGCACTATATTTTTGGATGGTGCTTGAAAATAAACTGTAGCATTGCTGGCTCTGGAGTCAGAAGGCCTGGTCTGTTTCATGTCTTGCCATGGCAATGGTACAGATATTTGTGACCTTGAGCAAATTACTTGATGTGCCTGCACTCAGTTTCCTCATTGGTAGCATGGAGATGATAAAAATAGGTTTGTGATGATCCGGAGAATGTAAAGCACTTAGAATAGTGCTTGGCACAGGGCACATTCGCAATTAGTCTTAGCCATAACTTACTGTAAACTCCATTTGCTAATCAGATTCAAGTTATCAGGAGAGAACACAGTCCTGTCCTTGGCAAGACTTTGAAGTGGCTTGAAGAGTTTCTCTGCCTGGTTTCTGCCTGGTTTCTGCCAGAAAGGAAGGGGGAGAGGGAGGGAGAGGTTGCCTCCACATCTTCTTCCGGTGAGCAGCTGGAAGGTGGCTCACAAGGGGAGCCAGAGGCTCAGGTGGGGCTGGCTGCTTCTTGCTCCTCACAGTGCCAACCACAGCTGCCTTGTGGAGCAAGCGGGAGAGACCTGTGGAGCTCCTGAGGCTTGGACAGTTCAGGGGTTTAGGTGCCAAATGGCCCTCTGACAAGTGGTGAGAGCATACTGTGGGAAGGTTGCTTGGGAGGAGCAGCCCATTATGGAAGTGCTCTGAGAGCAGCCTGCTAAAACTGCACTTTTCTTCCACCTCTGAGTTCACCCTGGAGGCTGCCATGCTGGCAGGAAATGCTG